CCATCTCTGTTTGTGCTGTGGCCTAGAGAGAGCTTTGCCTGTTAGCAAAGCTCTGCTGTCCCAGGAGCTCCGAGGCAGGCAGGGCTTAGAACTCTTTGTACCCTTGTGTTTAACAAACTTCCGTAGCACCTGGCAAGCACCAGGCCCCTCTTTATGACCCACTGTGAATATAAACCCATTTACCCTCATAGGGACCCTGTCCCAACCTATGAGGTAAGTACCATCATTATCCTCATTTTGCAGGTGAGGAAACTGAAGCCCGATAGATGAGGTGGCAGGTCCAAGGTCACAGCTAGAGTACAGGATAGAGCTGGGGTTTCAGCCCAGACAGTCTTGTGTGAATGAAGTGTAGTGGGTAGCCAGGGGCTTAGCTGACCCCTGGGAGAGCCAGGTGAGCCCCCTTGAAGACTACCCTGTCTCCAGCCCCAAGGCCGCGCCGTAAAAGCTGTGGGCTCTCTCTGGACCCAGCAGTGCCCCCAGAGCCAACTGGGCATCTGCCCCTAAACTGTCTAGTCTGTGTACTGGGGACCTTTGATCTCTGACCCTGAGGTTGGGGTACTGGAGTCAGTTTCTGACCTTGGTCACAGAGTCTTGGTGGCCAAGACAAGGATATGAGATGTGCCATCAGCTCTGTGGGAGCCCTGGGCAGCAGGGCACAGTGACCATACATTGGCTGAAAATAGAGGAATCTAGGGGGTGATCTGTGGATCCCTGGGGCCTCAACCTGATCCCCCACATGACAGACATGGGACACCCAGGCCCATGGCCCATGGGGTGGGACACAGGTGCAGCCATTCACCCCGCTGGCCGCTGGGGAATTACTTCTGTAAGGTGCAGCACTGGCCCTCTAGCAGGGAGGCGTGTGTGAAAAACCAAAACATAAAAACAGAAGCAATATTGTTAACAAATTCAATAAAGACTTTAAAAATGGTCCACATCAAAAAAATCTTAAAAAAAGCCCAAACGAACTTTTGGTCAACCCAATATATAGAGTATGTGTTTATATGGACACTTATGTTTCTACATGTTTGAACATAGATGCGTGTATAGGGATGTATATAAATGCATGCAGGTTTGTGTGTTGTTACTTTATATGTGTAGATGTGAAAATATGGGAGTGTATATGTAGCTGATTTTGTATACCTTTATGTGAGGGAGTGTGTGTGTGTGTACACACGAGCCTAGAACTCAGGAGGATTGTGGCTGGGTGGGGTGAGTAGTTGTGGAGAGGTGAGCAGGGAGACAGGGAGGAACTCTGATTATTTCAACCTTGAAAACTCATTTCAATTACAATTTACAACCTGCAGACAAAGGCTGCAGTCGCCGTAGTAACCACAGCTGCGGGGGTTTTGATGGAGAAAGTCCTCTCCCGGATGGTTCCGGGGCTGGCTGTCATCCGTGGCCGAGCCAAACACATCTCCGGCTCACTGTGCCTTGGGACACAATTAGGACATCTTCAAACTGTTGCTGCTGTCATTGTTGCCGTGTGTCTGGAATTTATCTCCTCTAGGAGCTCTCGGAAATGTGTGTCTTGTTTCCTGCCAGAACTGTGGTTCCCTGTCTGGGCCTGGGGGTCCCAACCACCCATGAAAGGGGATTCTCTGACCCCCTGCTTCCCTCCATGGCCCCTCTGTCACCCTTCGGGGACAGGATTGTCCCTTGCGCTTCTCTCCTGGCTCTCAGAAGCTGGGATCAGTAGCCTTGAGTAAGAGGGCAGGCTGCTGAGGCTGGAGAACTTGCCTCTCCTGTCCATCCATCTCTGTTTGTGCTGTGGCCTAGAGAGAGCTTTGCCTGTTAGCAAAGCTCTGCTGTCCCAGGAGCTCCGAGGCAGGCAGGGCTTAGAACTCTTTGTACCCTTGTGTTTAACAAACTTCCGTAGCACCTGGCAAGCACCAGGCCCCTCTTTATGACCCACTGTGAATATAAACCCATTTACCCTCATAGGGACCCTGTCCCAACCTATGAGGTAAGTACCATCATTATCCTCATTTTGCAGGTGAGGAAACTGAAGCCCGATAGATGAGGTGGCAGGTCCAAGGTCACAGCTAGAGTACAGGATAGAGCTGGGGTTTCAGCCCAGACAGTCTTGTGTGAATGAAGTGTAGTGGGTAGCCAGGGGCTTAGCTGACCCCTGGGAGAGCCAGGTGAGCCCCCTTGAAGACTACCCTGTCTCCAGCCCCAAGGCCGCGCCGTAAAAGCTGTGGGCTCTCTCTGGACCCAGCAGTGCCCCCAGAGCCAACTGGGCATCTGCCCCTAAACTGTCTAGTCTGTGTACTGGGGACCTTTGATCTCTGACCCTGAGGTTGGGGTACTGGAGTCAGTTTCTGACCTTGGTCACAGAGTCTTGGTGGCCAAGACAAGGATATGAGATGTGCCATCAGCTCTGTGGGAGCCCTGGGCAGCAGGGCACAGTGACCATACATTGGCTGAAAATAGAGGAATCTAGGGGGTGATCTGTGGATCCCTGGGGCCTCAACCTGATCCCCCACATGACAGACATGGGACACCCAGGCCCATGGCCCATGGGGTGGGACACAGGTGCAGCCATTCACCCCGCTGGCCGCTGGGGAATTACTTCTGTAAGGTGCAGCACTGGCCCTCTAGCAGGGAGGCGTGTGTGTGTGTGTGTGTGTGTGTGTGTGTGTGTGTGTGTGTGTGTGTGTGTGTTTGAGGGAGGAGGCTGCAGGCCATGCTGTATGCAGGGGCTGTGGGAGGGGAAGCTGGGGTTCCCTAGCACTCTCCCTTCCTCTCCTCTGCCATCCTCCGGCCCCTGTGTCCGCACCTCAGAGCCCCTGCCCCATCCCGCCCCCCACTTTCCTGCCGTCCCCCTGCAGTCAGGCTCTCACAGTCTCTCAGGTGTAGTGTGGTACACAGGCTGGGAGCTGGAGCACCTGGTCAAATCCAGCTCTTTGTGGTCCTGGAATGCCAGTGAGCTTTTCTGTGCCTCAGTTTTTCCATCTCTATAATGGGGATAATTACTCACCTCGTAGCACTGTTCTGAGTATTCAATGACTTAATATATACATAAAGAGCTTAGAAGAGTGCCCGACACAGAGTGGATGCTCCATAGAAGTTAGCAGTCCTTGGGACTTCCCTGGTGGCGCAGTGGTTAAGAATTCATCTGCCTTGGGACTTCCCTGGTGGCGCAGTGGTTAAGAATTCATCTGCCTTGGGACTTCCCTGGTGGCGCAGTGGTTAAGAATT